CACAATATCAAGTTTTGTACTGCCAAAAAAATATCTGTTGCCAGCCAATTATGGAAATCAACATTACATTTCTCTTAAACATAATTTTGAACTGGTAACCAGAATTGTTTTATTATTGGGCAATCGCAAAACAGGTAGAACAAAGTTTCTGAATCATTTTGACAAAATGAACAGGTATCATTATCGATAATATTCATTTTTTATCTATTTTTGAACTGTGTAGAAATTTATTGAATAAAACCATGTCATGTGTTAAATTAACAAATATTCACTACTGTTATGTATACTCATGTGTTATATTGTATGTAACTTGAGTTAATAAAGATATGTTCTGTTCTGTTCTGTTCTGATAATATTCATTTTTTATGTAAATAGGTTGTTGCAAGGATTTGATGGTTGATTCTAAATTGTAACCATATGATTTTTTGATCTTTCTTTTTTTGATCGTTCGTATATCTATGAACCATATCATATATTGAACTATTTTGAAAAAAGAAAGGTCCAAAAATTATACCGTAATTTTTATACACGTTTCACGTTATGGTCTATAAGAACAGTAATTTAAAGTTAATGAATGAAACCTACATTACAATTACTAGATCGCGTTGCTCCATGTTATTCAAACATTATTGAAGTCATAATTGTTTTTTTTATAATATGTTTTGCAAAATCTTTTTAGATAGTATTCTTCAATAATCTTTATTTAAAATTAGCTCAGATTGAAATCAATAAATGTAATTATAATGCCTGCGTTAAACACAATACATATCGAGACAAATTTTTTTTATAAACACCCCGTCATTTTCATTAAAACATACTGCAAAAGTAAGAAAAAGTAAGTCTTAATCAATGGCCAGAGAAATCGACCCACATACCTCTCATATATAAGGATCACTTAACCTTCTTTGCTATTGCGAATATGACGACAACCAATACTTTCGGCTGATGCGACATTAAAAACGTAAATTATTTACTATGTATTAAATATGTGTACAGACAATACCGAAATTGGACTATTAAAATCAGTGCTATAATTTATTCATAAATGTCAGGCCAATATGATCAGAATATATGAAGCTTGCAATTATGCATGCATTTAATGACCTTTTCGTAACCTAGATGATATCCTTAATACGAGTTATCCTTTTTTCGATCAAATGGTTACTAAACTAGTTCGCAGTGAACTTGTATTAAATAAGACTTACTCGTCAGACATTATGACATCTTTTTTTTAGATTTAAACATTTCTATCATATGATAAAATAGAAAGTTTTAATTTTAATATTGTTAATTATCCACATATAGATACATGAGTACCTCATGCTTCATTTGCTAGGCCGTGCAGTCGTTTGATGATTTTAATGAAGCATTTTATTTATTATTGCAACAAGGCTATCGTTATCATAAATTGCGTAAATATGATACTACGTTTTACAATCCTAAGCCAGATTTAGTTTTAATTGCAGTTCACTTGCTATTTAAAATGTTTTTCATGACTAGGTATTAGCAAGTCTGGTGTCTGTAGAGACAAACTTCGCAGGATCATGAGTAATAGTAATGTTTCACTAAAATTATCAAACAGTTTATTGTAAGAGAATATGATCCAATTATTTGAAGGCATACCGCATGCTTAGTGTTAAACCCTTTAACAGTTGGACGCTACGATGTCATTTTTTGATTACATCTGACGGACTAAAAGTGATGCTCTATATGAGGGACAGTTTTTAAAGCTTTTTGGAACTGACTTGTCTTAATGTTCGTCTACTGTATTGCCTTGTCGGACCTTTGTAAGTTATTTTATTGTTGCTCTGCTTTACTCTGCCTTGTTTTAAGGTATCGAGTACTTTGTTTACGGTCATTAGGCTGAATCTTTTTGTACATATTTACACGATCATTTAAGTATTTTATTTATTTCGTCTAATATTAGACCATTGTTCGAATTTCACTTGCCGGGATTGATTGATCTTTTTACACTGTGGTGTCGAAGGGCTAAGAGTTAGGCTTTGCTCTCCTTATAACGGTTTTAACTCCTCAGTGGTGTAACTTCCACTGACCGTTTTAAGGCGGTACCCCTGTATGTTTCTTCACGTATTTCACATGTCTGTATTGTTACTTGTTTTGAATGTCTGCATGTTTTGCGATATGTACCTTGATAAGTTGTCCTTAAAAGGTAAATATTCTCACCCGCCCCCATTCTCCCATTGTTTTACCCCTCCGTCTTATTTCACCCTGATATCCCTTGTTCCTTTTATTCCTATATGGGCCCGTTTTAGTTTTTATCATTTCACACCCTTACCTCCTTTCGCCACCTGTGTGCCTACTCTCCGTTTTGGTTTGGTGCCTTCTGGATGCCCTGCTGTGGTACCATAGTTATGTCGGGGCTGAGTCCTGTGAACGATGCCTTTGTCTTGTTGAATTTATTCTCGTTTTTTGTTTCGTTTTCGAAACCAGTGCGTAAATAATTATAAGTCAACCTCATATTCATTTATCGAGGCGTATGGAGCTTTCAAACATATCAGACTGGCGTTTCAATTAGGTTTACCCATGCCAGAAATTTCATCTTGAATGGGGTGCCACCGTGCCAGATGAGTCGCGTACTATACAAAGGCAAGCTTAGAAATAACATAATATTATCATCATTGAATGATGTTGCAATTTCATACACTATTGTACGAACATAGTTACGAGTATAATGACATAAATGTCCAGAGATAATTGTTCTATAAAGGTAAAGACTTAGAAATGTTATGGAAAGTGGTAAATATGCAAGAAAAATATTTGAGATGTGTTTGCGGTTCGGATCGGAATATCCGTCCCTCGGGAATCCGCCTAATGTGCAATCTTCGATACCGCCAAATAGGTGGTCCCTTCAGTAAGAATAGTCCGATCCGAACTGCATCATATGACAGATTTCATTAGTGTAAGTGTTAAAAACAAATAACAAATAAAGGCAATCGATCATTGATGTTAGTTTCTTATTAACCCTTACCAGTAGAGTTGTGTGCATGAAGTTATAATCTTGAACGTACGGAATCGATAATCAATGAAAGACTGATGTTCCATTTATGTCATCATATGACTATCATAAAGCAATAACGTTTTCAAGCAAACTTTATATTGTTTACTTTGTTCGGTTTGTTCTTTTTAATGGTTCTTGAACTACACAAAACATGGCTAATAATAAGAGTTAATCATTCATTTAATGAATATATCTTATCATTCATTTAATGAATATATCTGTCTTAAGAAAGTAAGACATAAAATAGTGCGACTTTTATAGCGGTATTATCATATTTATGATTAGAAAATAAGCAGTGGACATTGTATAACGAAAATTATATCAGGAGCATGTGAAGCAATAACATAAATCTATAATTGTAAAAGTAGTAGTTTATTATCATAACAATATTTACCAAATTATATCGAATTGTTTCGTTCGTTTTATTTTGGTCAAGAAGCAATACAAAATTTTGATTTAGTTTGTTTCCTATACCCCAAAGAAGCAAATAATAATATTAATAATATTAATGATTGCCCATTGTAACTGTTTTCAAACAATCGTTTCAGTTACATTGTTCAGTGTTTATTTACATGATAAATACCAACAATGTATACCAACAAGTGTAAATGTGATAACGAAATACAAATTTTTGCGTTGATCCGTTTTACCTTTTTCATGTTTTATAAAACGAAAGCGTCTTAAACTTAAAACTATTTACGCGCTCTTACATATTTTTTTCAGGAATACATTTTTGTGTCTACAGATATCATTCATGTCAGTAGATAGTTATGTTTTGAATGGAATTGTGTTTCTCTAAGTGGGAAATAAATGCACCAGAAAAAACTTGATATGTCCTTTAAAATATTATTTAAAGATAAAAACAAACTGTTTCAACGACGTTTTATGAAAACCGAATTATTCATGTGAGAACAGAATCATTGCATATTAGAATTCAAATACTTTTTATATCAGTTCTTAACACGTTAATAGGAGCATTACATTGTTTTATTCACTCAATCTGAATGGCAAACCTTGAAGCTTTTTTATGAAAAAAAACTACTGGTAGCGCAGTCAAACAGAAATATGAAATATACAGGCATAAAACTTTGATTGCAAAATGCAGTAAACAGATGTAGCAATTATATCAAACTTAATGATGAAAGAAATATTTCTGAATTGATTAATGTCGTAATGTTTAATCACTCATATTGAATAACTGACTTTAAAATCATAAAATGTTATAAAGTACTGATGTGTAGTAGTTAGTAAAAAAACAAATATAATATCTTCGTTGAGTGACGTTTTGGCTTGTATGTTTTGTCTATGAAAAGAGAGGTCCAGACATGTTTGATTTTTATTGCCTATAGAGCAATGACTCAAAGGACAGTCAAAAGGCGATTCAGAAAATAAAGAAGAATAACTACAGCTACAAAAAGAGACTCTCTTTTAGTTACTTTCATACTATTCAAATTTATACCACCACACACACATGATCAAAGGACAGTGTGCTAAATAGTGTCACATGTTTTCCAAATAGGCACAAATGATATAATGGTGAATGATATATTGTGATAATATTGCCGAATTTGTTTCTTCTTCTCATAGTGTATGTTCATTGAAACATATTGAATATTGATACATTGTCTAAGGACGCACAGTTTAAGATTCTAAAGCCTAATACAAGACAACATTTTTAAGGCATGGACTAGAATGTTCACGCATTTCTATTATAACCTCGTTATATTTTCTAAATATATGTACAAATGTGAGCCTCATAAAAACAAATTGATTTGTCTTACTTTAACTTGAATATAGAGTCAGGTATGAATTAAAGATAGATGTAAAATATAAGAAAATATTTTTTCCGTAATTTGGATCATCTTTAATGCAATATATGTTCAATACACTAATAATTTTGTCAACAGAAAACATATGATATTATTATGTAGATTATTTAATAAATAATGACTTTTTATGTATATTTAAGAAGGAAAGAGGAGATGGCAGAGTTGTCTTATATTGAGATGTATATAGGACGTAAAGTCTTGGAGGGAAATAACGTTGCACTCAAGAAGTATATGCATCCTGATCCCGTAATTGATTGTAAAACAAACTTTGTATTACTCACCGACACCGACAGAAAAAGTATCAAGGTACGATATAAAGTAATTTGAAAGTACGTATATGAGTGGCAATGGTCTATCTTTGTGTTTATTATAGAATAATAACTGAGGCATTCGGGGAATTATCTTATATTGCATGCTTGAATCTTAAAAAAAACATATCAATTTATAAAATATACAGATTATGATATCAAGGTTAAAACTATTTATGTGCTGTGAAATTTTCTAGATGCTGTTTTCCTTGCTAATAATGTCGCGTTGCATTCATCATCATTTTTGCTTAGCTTTTAACAATTGATAGAAAACTTTGTCAGCTAATATATTCTATATACGCCCGTATGATTTTGTTTTCTCATTGAATTTTCTTTCCTCAAATACATGATGAAAATTTTAAAAACAAATGTCGTTCACTATCATTGAGTGCCACGGAATTGCATTGACCAATGTTTTAAAAATAACATACACTAATCCTTTTAAATCTCGTAAGTACATTTAGTACACCACAATTTGAATTGGAGCGTAAGTTTGCAGGGCGTTCCAGACAAACGAAACAAACATTAAACGCTGGCTTTTCGAACGTATTGAAAATTATTTCAGGAGCAATAAATTGATATAAAACGGAATCACAATTGTGGATCTTGTTGATGAAATAATTAATTGCAGGGTAAAGACCTTACTGATAAGAATGACACAATATTGAAGAAAGCAATATCCAAAGGTGCTAAAGGTTACACAGATTTTAAAGAGCGTCTTAGAAAGACTCGGCAAAGAGATTTGCTAGAGCTGATCGTTTGTGCAGAGAATGGACGCGACACAAAAGAGATAGAGGATCGGCTTGAGAAAATTGCGGCGTTACGTCTAGGAAATTTGAAGCACAAATGTGGTAAGTTAATGTGCTAAACCCACCTATGCACAGAGTGTTCAGAAGTGAGCTTTTGTGAATTCAATATATCAGTTGTTCGTTTTTTATCATTTGTTGTGAATATTTATCTTTTAACTTAAAAAACAGTTTCACCTGACTCAATTTATCGCGTTCTAACAACTTTTACAAAAAAATATTGATATTGGGTCTTCTGTAATATTTTATGTTCTGAATGGTTTTTGTCTGATTCAGAGGTAGGTTATATAAGCTTAAGATAGAAATTAATTTAGAAATAATGTAAAACATAACATTATGCACAGTCTGAAATGAACAAAGGACATTATAGTGGAGCTGCTTCTCTAAATATTATGACTGGTAACCTTGATGCTTTGCCAAATAATGGGGGAAAATGTTTTTTTTTTTTAAGTAAAAGCAATAACGATGAGCTTAATATCCTTGATAAATATCCGATTTATTCAGGTTAGAAGGTGCATTATATCGACATATGTAAAACAAACAATAAATTTCTTATGTATAGTGTTGAGAAAATCATATATTTGCTATGAAATAAAGCTACATTGTATTGTAAGATATTCTGCAAAAGGCATGCTTTGATTTATTATGCGGCAGACGCAAGTTATCATGTTGTGTTCTGTTCATATTTCCGTTTCATAGTCAAAATTCGAATATAACTTCGAATGCGTTTGTTTTAAGCGAAAAATATAAGTAAATTGCTGCCACATATCTCAGTTTGAAACAATATTTCAAGATAATTTTACATGACTTTTAATCATGATTATTTTCTTAGTCTCTCAAAACACTTTAACAGTTGTTTTGTTAAAGTATTTCTTTTAAAACTTGATATATTTTGAAAACGGTTTTACAAAAGAGAGACCCATATAAACAAATTGTCTTGTATTACCTTATCTTTAATATCGAGTCAGGTAAAGATTAAAATTAGATATAAACGTTAAGAATATATAAGAACCGTAATTTGGATCATCTGTAATGCGATATATTCTCAATACACTAATAATGTTGTAAACATATACTGTATTATATGAAAATTATATAAAAAAATATTTAATAAATAATGAATTATTTATCTATATTTAAGAAGAACTGGAGATGAAAGAGTCGTCTAATATTGATATGCATATGGGACGTCAAGTGATAAATAGGAAATATGATGCACTCAAGAAGTATATGCATCCTGATCCCGTAGTTGATTGTAAAACAGACTTCGTATTACTAACCGACACAGACAGAAAAAGTATCAAGGTACGATATAAAGTAGTTTGGAAGTACGTACATGAGTGGCAAGCTTTATATTAATTATTGATTGTAGTATGATAAGTGAGGCATTCAAGAAATAATCTTATTTAATTCTTACAACGAATAAATATCAGGAAAATATAATATTTTGGTATCACTGCAGATCTATCTCAAATGACTGTGAATCTTTCTAGATATAGCTTTCTTTGCTAATCATGTCGCGTCTATTATATTCTATTATATTCATCATATTCTTTTTTATCATTTCTGCTTTTAAGGTAATCATATACATGTTCGCCCGTATTATTTTATATTCTTATTCATTTAAGTGTTTTTTATTTGTTTGTTGTTGTTTTTCAACCATGATACATATTCAACAAATCGTCGTTCACTTCGTCAGGGAGAATTTATCCGGATGAGCTTAGATCACTGAAAGTCTCTAACAATCCTACTGTTTGTCTATGATTATGTGAAATTAATGCTTCATTTTATGCGTTCACTAACAGTTTTAAACTAGCGTTTGAAAATGTCAAACATGTCATAAATAATCGAATACAATATTAAGATTACTCAGCAATGGTATATTTATGGATGTTGAACTTGTTAAAGTTTAAGTGGTTGCATATTACGTTCACCAGAACCGAAGTCCGGCGTCCGTTGTCCGTCGTCATCTTCTTCACTGAAACTGCTGGGCAGATTAACCTCATTTTTTGTCTGTAGCATCCTTGTGACAGTCGCAATTTTAGTTGATTATGTCAGTTCAGTTGGCCGATTTTAGGGGTCATAAGAGATAAAACTAGAAAAACCTTTAAAAATCTTCTTCTACTTAATTAAATGCTCGCTGATCACCAAACTTTGGCTGTAGCATTCATAGGTAGCCCTTTACCAACTTCGCTCAAATCAGTTTCAATAAACACTTTTAGTGACCACTAAAGCTTAAAAATATAAAAAAAAAACTTTAATCGACTTCTACTAAACTATTGGGTGGATGATCACCAAACTTTGTCTGTAGCATTCTGAGATAGCCTTTTATCAAGTCTGCTCATATTGAGTTGATTGGCCCCTTTTAGGGGCGCTATAGCTAAAAATAGAAAGAAAAAAACAACATGAAAACATTTTTGTACTGAACTTATTGTTGGATTATCACAAAACTTTGTCTATAATATTCTTAAATGGTCTGTTATCAAATTCGTTCAAATTAATTTGATTGGCCCCACTTCGCGCCCTCTAGAGGTAAGAATAGAAAAATAAATAACAGTTTATCCCACTGAACTAATTGATGAATGATCACCAAACTTTGTCTCTAGTCTTTAATCAAATTTGCTCATATGCATATGACTGACCCCTTTTATGGGCCACTGAAGCTAAAAATAGAAAAACAATCTTTAAACACCTTCTACTACTAAAAAAGTAGATGATTATCAATTTTCTTTGTAGAATCTTTAGGTAGTCAATTATCTAATTTGCTCGTATAAATTTGATTGGACCCTTTTAGGGACCGCTAAAGCTTAAAATAGAACAAAAACTTTAATATAATCCTTCTACTGAACTAATGGATGCATGATCATCAAACTTTGTGTGTAGGTAGCGTTTTATCAAGTTTGCTCATATTAACTTGATTGGCCGCTAGAACAAAAAAAAAGAAGAAGAAAAACCTTCTAACATTGATGGATGATCGTAGCAATCTTAGGTAGTCTTTTATCCAGTTTGCACATATAAATATGACTGGCCCCTTTTAGGGGCCGCTTAAGCTAAACTTAGAAAACATTTTTACATCTATCTCCTTCTACAGGACTAATTGATGGATGGCAACCAAACTTTGTCCGTAACATTCGTATGTAGTCTTTCATAACGTTTGTCATATTTATTTGAGTTAGAATGTCCCAGACCAGGGCATTTCTCTTAAAATTCTAGTTTGATAATGAAAGGGAATACACTCATGTTGGAATGTCTTCCATACATAATTCCATGTTAGGCATTTTTTGTCTTAAAGATTGAAAAGCTGGGATAAAGTCTTGATGTCATGGTCTGTTTGCATTCAGAGTTCTTTAAGAAATGATTTAAGGTCATGTGCTTTGTATCTGAACAGTATACATATCTTCACATTGTCATTTGACATGCTAAAATAGGAACTCACTAGACACTACTGCACAATGGCAAGGTTAAATTGTATAAATTGATATTAGAATTTCTGGAACTATTTGTGTTCACAAATGCAATAATGAAAACAAATTCATATTCTGTCTATGTTCTGGAATTCGAATAGGCATTGCATCATTCTATTAATCTTTCTGCAGGGTCATTTTTAGATCAGTGTAGATAATTTTCCTATCAGGCCTACAGAAAGATAACATTTGCTTCCTGCACCGACTAACATGCTCATTGCTTTATTGAATTTTGTTAAAAATTAAAAATTGTTGCATTTTTTTCATTTTTTTTTCTAATTGGATCTAAACTTTTAGAAAGCACATTTCAATAAATATTTGGACACAATGTTGAACCTTATGTTTGCATGTGGTATTGTCACTGTATAACAAATAGGGGATTTTTTTTTCACCGAGACACATTTACAGTACATGTTGTATTAAATGAGAATATAATAATACAATAAAGAATAGCCTGATCGATTGACCTGTGAGCCTCCCATTAGCCTGAACTGGTATTGTCCAGCTCCATAACCACTTTCCCTGATCTCATTTTTTTAAGTAATATTCGAATAATTTTTCAATAGAACACTCTAACAAATAAGTTAAATGTTAATAAACTAGATATTGCAATAATATATTTCATCTTAATTTACTTTATAATCTTTTGTAACTTTTTTACATGTAGGATTTAAACTTTTATTTCAGTCGACTCATGTTTTTTCTTGTTTTTCTTTATGCAATTTGTCATTTTTTTATTCGTTGTGCTATTTTTAAATCAGTTTCTATTATTTCTATCCTTAATTACATTTTACAAACTTGGTTATCACTTGTTCAAAGTTATTTTGCGCTGTTTTATACAATATCCCTTTTTCCCTTGTATGATAAGTTGTTTTATTAAAAGAGTTTTTTTTGTTCACTGAATACATTTCATTAAAAGAATCTTTCGCTTTTTTCCTCTATGTAGTAACTGTTTCATTTTTTCCCATTTCTATTAGCTAGATATAGAGAGAGTAAGATAATTCAGTCTGAAACATTAGCTTTCTGGTTGGTCGGGTTGACTAGAATACCTATGTTATATTAAATAAATTTTGACCGGTTGTGTCATCCTGACAAACAGTATACAGTAAACTTCACTTTTAGCGAACACGGTTATAGCGAACTTCCGGTTATAAGGAACATTTTATTTGGCCCGAATTTTGCCCTTCTTTATTTAATATAAAAATTGTAGTTATAGCGGGCATGATAATAAGAAAATATCGCTGATAAGGAACTTATTTCTTAGTCCCAATTTAGTTAAAAGTACAGAAAATTACACTTTTATAACGAACTCCAAAATACCGGCTATCCGTAACTAGATTTTGCAGCAGTACGTTATAGTTTTCTATTTAGGATAGTTTTAACATGAGTTATTGTCACCATAATAAATCGGTTATTCCATTTATTGTATTATTTCTTTTCTTTTATAATTTTGCTCGAGTAAAATAATTATAATCATTTATAATCGGGTTTTAACATAATCACGCATGCTTGCAAGCATAATCCATTGAAATATACGAAGTATATTTGATTGAAATGAAAAGAAATCTATATACATTTGTATTTCATTTGTAAAAGTCACCCTTAAAATATTATAGAAGATATTCCATATAAAAGGATGGAACTATCGAAAAACTTGTTTATTTTTAATCATGGAAAGAAAACGAAAAGCACTGAGTTTAGAAACAAAATATGATATTTTATGATATTTAATAATTATCTACTACACAAACTTTTTAGGATTTTATGAGAAATTGAGAAAGGGAGTAAAACTAGAAATGAAATAGCAAAGGATTTTCAAATTCCAATAATTGCGCTCTCGGGTATTGTGTCATAAATAGAAATAAATGACTAAACTTTCTTAATTAAATGCTCTTCAAAATGACGGGAGATAGTAACAATCAATTTGTTATATAAATGTAAATCTGTTCACTATAAATAGCCCTGATACAAGGAACAAATTCGCTAAATGCTTAAACGGAACTCCAGATATAAGGAACAGACTTTAAATGTCCCGATGAGTTCATTATAAGCGGAGTTTACTGTACATGTATATTTAAATACTGAGGTAATGTAATTATCTAATCGTTTAGATAAGTAAAAAAGAAAAATCGCAATTTCGAAAGACAGTCATAGGCACATGTTATAACAAATTAATGGATGATCACTAAACTTAGTTCTTATCAATTTTACTATAAAGAAGAAAACAACAATAAGTTTTGGGGAACCTAATAACTAAAGAGGCAAGTTGAAGTTGAGCTGGACTTGTCTTTTTATAATTTAGTTTATTTTGAAAAATATTTCTATAATCACTGCAAAAAAGTTGTTTCTTTTGAGCGATTAAGGGCCAATACGGCCCTATTGTATGGTGGTTGATTTGGTACGCTTTTGTGCGTCGTGTTGGCGCTTACGACAACAGTACAAAGCGCCAAACAGAGCGTTGTTGGACTTTCGTCTTGTCGTCCAGTCGCTAACGATGTACGCCAAACGGCGCTTTGTCGTGCGTCGTGTTTTCGCGATGTCACATTGTCGCTCGGTTCAAATCAAAGGATTAGCTTATAAGCCAAGCGACAGGGTGACATCGCGAAAACTCGCCGCACGACAACGCGCCGTTTGGCGTGCTTCGCTAGAGACAGGACGACTTGAGGACAACGCGACAACAAACCGTTTGGCGCTGTCGCTAGCAACAAGTTGTCGCTATCGACAAAGCAACGCGCTATGTAGTAAATCAGCCACCATACTCTTGTTATGTATATATTACAGCAGACAATTTTAAATGAATTGTCAAATAAAGACGGTTTTCGTATTGTCTTTTGAACTTTATAAAATCATAATTATTGACCTGTGCATTGCATAGTACACATAGCATTAGTACAGTGCACAAGTATTTTGTGCCAACTAATCTGAAGTTAATACGATGTATTTATATATATGCATTCCATATAGTATATGGCCGCACAAACTTGCTAGATATTATTAAAAATACAGCATCAACCAGCATTACAACGAAGTGTCTAAATATCTTAAATAAATGTCTAAATTCTAAATATGTAAAAAAAGGCATGTAGATCCTATTTAAATGTAATGCAATGAAACAGTCGAAAAATAAAAAATAAAAAAATAAATTTATAAGATTTTGATTATACGAAAAATGTACCGCCAGCCACGTTGCGAAACGCTGACAGTTATAATATGTTTGGTATTTGAAAAGTATACCACTAATCTGACTGATTAAATGAAACATGTACAATATGATAACGGTTTTACATTGTAAAAGTTGGCCTGACCGTTCCGTCACTCTTTTCTTAACATAATTTAGACGTACATTGAACTACATACATCGATTTTCAAAAATATAACTGAAATGAAAAAGAAGACAAAACATAAACAACACTTACAATAAGCCGTTTTGATATCTGAAATACCGGTCGCTCGTTTTTTCAGTACATCTCAATTTTGAAGTCGAGCATAACTGGGCAGGGCGTGAAATCAAACAAACATTAAACACTGGCTTATTTACTATATTGCAGAGTTATAACCTTACTGATAAGATTGACACAATATTGAAAAAAGTAATATCCAAAGGTGCTAAAGGTTACACAGATTTTAAAGAGCGTCTAAGAAAGACTAGGCAGACTGAATTGTTAGATTTGATCGTGTGTGCAGAAAATGGACAGCAAACAAAAAAGACAGAGGATCGGCTTGCAGGGTATATCAAGCATAAACTAGGTAGGTCGATGTTTTTAGCTTACCTGAGCATAGAGGATTTTTGTTACTTCAATATGCCAGTCGTTCGTTGTCCATCGTTCGTTGTTAATATGTCTTTAACCCACATCTAAACATGACCCCAAAAAATCTATTTTAACAACATTTACAAAAATGAATCAAAATAGGCATTCTGCTTTTTTTTGGTATCTGATTTACTCTTGTCTGAGCGATAACCCTTTACAGAACAGAAAGAAAATCCACAAAAAACCAAGGTGCACAGCTTCAAATGCTAAGCAACATTCCAGTAAAGTTTCATGACTCTTGGTCAAATATTTTTATAGCTTTGTGCGACACAAGTTGAAAATTACAAATGCAAATGTTTTCTTAGTCAAGGGCAATGACTATGACAAAACAAAATAAATCCATAAGAGAAACCCCAGGTGCACAATTTCACATGCTGTGCAACTTGCCAGTAAATTTTCATGACTGTAGGTCAAATACTTTTTGAGCTACGTGCAACATAATTTGAAAATTGCAAATTGTTACTATGTCAAGTACTCAAAACATCTACACAAAAATATGCAGGAACACAGCATCACATTCTAATCAGCATTCCTGTAAAGTTTCATGACTCTAGTTCTCATACTTTTTGAGCTTTGTGCGACACAAATTGATTTTTTTACCAAATTAAAGGCAATAACTCTACAGATACTAAAACCTTTTACACGAAAATCCCCAGGTGCACACTTTCACATGCTGAGCAACATTCCTATGAAGTTTCATGACTTTAGGTCAAATACTTTTTGAGCTACGTGTGACACAAAATCACAACGGATGGACGGATGGAACGATGGATGGTTGGACGGACGAAGGACAAGGGTAAATCTAAATGTCCCCCTCTATAGTTGGGGCACACATAATTTTTGCAACTGCATTCTAGCTACGGCAGACCATCTGCACGTGAAATTGGTTACGTCATTAGCAATGAATTTCGACTGCCGAGCAAGGTACTAGTCTAAAACCGAATAATGGATTTTGATAAGAATATGACATAGGGCAACACATGCAATAAAAAGTTATGATACAGGGCAGCTGGTTCTTAAGCCGATACATGCATACTATGACGGCATTGACCCTCGGGGGTCAATATTTTACTAAGTGTGCCGTGTAACACCGCACTTTGGGGTCAAACGCACTTTGGGGTCCGAATATTTAGGAATACCCTACTAGATTATCAAGCCAACTCAGCAATCCAGTAGAGCAATTTTATACTATATTAAAGAACCAACCGCAACATTGTTATGCAAGCTTAGTTTTCAAGCAGAGCATTTTACATTTTTAAGAATATACTTAACTATATTGCTCTGCCAGTTGAGCATTCTAGCAGAGAAATTTTACGTGATATTTTTGAATTGTTTGCTGCTGAGCATACATATAAGCATTGTATACACTGTTTTCAGGAATGTCCCGCTAGATTGCTACGCCAGCTCGGCATTACAGCAGAAATGATATAACAGATTATTTCATAATGGCCCGCTAAATTGCTCTGCCAGCTCGGCATTTCAGCAGAGTAATTTTGTACTTAGGAATGTCCCGCTAGATTGTTTAGCCAGCTGATCAATACTGCAAAGTATTGTTCACAATATTATTCTGAATGCCCCGCTAGATTGCCAGGACAGCTGATTATTCTACTAGATTATTTTTACACTAAATTTTGCTTAGCCAGCTGAGCATTCCAACAGAGAATTTTTCTTTGTATTTAGGGATGTCACACTAGATTGCTTTGCCAGCTGAGCATTGCAGCAGATCATTGATTTCCATATTTAAATTGTAATGCCCTTTGTAAAAGCTCAATGTCAAAGTGTAAACATGTGTGAATTAATTTACATTTCTTCTACTTTCTACTCGAAATGAAGTCAAAAGCATATTTCCATATATTTAATTATTTTAAGTTGTTATTTTAATATATTTTATAGCTGTACAATCTACAGTACTAGAAATGGACGTTTGGCGAAAAGTCTTCGATCAAAGCACGGGGAAACTTAAAACATATCTCATCCCCGATGAAATCATTCACCTGGACACAGGGTTCGAATTATTCTCCTTCACTGACATACGGGACATAAAGGTATAACATCAAATACTTTTATGATATGCTGCATATTGTCTTAGCATTTTAAATTCATATTAAAAGTATTAATTCTATATGTCTGCTGAAAATTTCTTCAGGAATGGAAACAAAATGGAATAATCCTGAATCATTATATTATATAGATATAATAAGAATATAGTCAAGAATATAGCCTGCCATAATATGAACCAAAAATCCTTGGGTCAAGTCTGTCAGTTGGATACCTTTATTAGAAAAACCCGTTTTTTTAGAGAAAAAAAATCTTTAAAAATGTTTCTCTCTTATACCACAAGTGATAGAGCTTAGATAGTAGGCGGCATCCAGCTTACCTAGGCCGACAATATACCCTTTGAAGAAAATAATTTGCTAGTGTCAATATAGGTTAATATGTAAAATATTTACAAGCAATTTTTTATAATGAATGGAATTTTAAATATGGGTTTCTTTTATTACGAGGACTAACTATTATAATGTTCATAACAGACGGTGTATACGCAATTTCAATTTATTCACATGTGGATATCGCTTTAATATATTAACATAAAAACATTGAATGGGTTAAGCGATAGTGAATTGTGTGTGTAATAACTACCTTTTACGTGTCCTTAACTTTAATCAAGGGCTATTTTGTTGTTAATTCAAAAGCTTGAAAATTTGATTACTTGTATATTTAATAATATTTAAAGATGATTTTATAAGCGGTTACGGACCATGATTATGTGATATATGTTTGCTAACATAATGTATATCTACAATAGAAAGATTACAAATGCAAGTACACTGTTACAGGAAGAGACGAATACAACAAAGAAAAACGAAGTTATTTTGACAAAAGTAAGATCCAAAGGCGTTTTTGCTTACATACACTTCAAAGAACTTCTTAAAATAACAAATCAGAGCAAACTTGCAGACCTTTTGACTTATACAGAGAGGGGATTAAATACAGAGGAGATAGAACAACAACTTGACAAAATGTTAGAAGAACAAATAACACGTACGGTATATGATAAACAAAAAAGAGGTAAGTGTATGTTTATCTGCACAGACAAAGCGGAGGGTCTAGGTGCTTATACATTGGAGTTACTATTGTCAAGTCATCTGACTCAATATGTCCGAATTTTTAATTATGAAAAAATTATGTGTTTCCATACTTAAAACATTGTTCTCATTATTTGTTCTCTAAGTCTGGCGAATCAAGGAGAGGTTTGTGGTCATATATCAGCATTGAAATCTCCAATTTTGGTGTATAAATTGAGCGCCTGACATTAAAACATTAATAATATTTTTCAAACTTTATTGGTCTCCTCGCTCACTGGAGGAGACTAAAAGCTTTTGCCTCATCGGTCTGAACACCACAATGTTATGCTTTATGTGCTTCATTCAGTCCAAAATTTAAGGTTTAAGAAAGGAAACAAGATTTACCATCGGTTTACGTCAAAAGTACTCACTCAAATTATATGGGAATATGCTAAATAAATATAAACCTAAATATTGATTCTTACCTTTCTCCACCAGTCAAAAAAAAGATGTTGCGATGATTCATTAAAAACATGCAATATTTTCATTAAGCATGTCTAAAATGCATTATTTTTTAAATCATGTACATAAACTTGAAATCTTTAAAAATGTTAATTTTTATTTTGTTTGGGAAAGCACGTTGGTATAGCAACAAATTGACATTATATCATTAACAAATGATTCAGCAATAATTCGAATAATACTAAGAAAGTCTTCTTGGACCATTTAGAGATTGCAATACTATGTTTGAAGCATTTTTTTATTGTGTTCAGATTTTTAGAATGTAATCACTATGGCAAAACAATACAATTGGAGAACGCAAAAACGTAAAACTCTTTTGTAGTTCTAAAGGTATCAAACAATATATTTTAAGCAAAAAATGTTTGGATACATAAACAGCTCACATCTCATGTATTATAAATTGACTTATGATTTATTATATTCATCAAATATATTTGCACATTTAAATTTGTCCAAAATAAGCTTCATTTCCTTGGATATTATATGAACCTATTGATGCATTAAATTGAGATTTTATACAACAAGTTCTATTGTTGATTAGAAGTTTGTACAAATCCTACGCATGTCATTTAGAAAATATAGCAAATAGTTTCATCTATTAATTGTGTTTTCTCCCAATTACTTTTGAACTGAAAGAGACACACAATTATCCCACCCTTGTCATCACTAGAAACAATGTGTTTTTCGATTGCGGCCAAGATCACTACCCATTGCAGTGAACTACGAGTAGAGCTATTCCGAAAAACAATAAGAAAACAAATCAAAATATACCGAAAAATGTATTTTTTGCGATATATTTGGTCCGTTCTACAAGATAAATACCAAACTACTAGCTTGTAATTCAAATAGCATGTATGCTGATGTATTTGCTCCGAACAACCAGATTAATACCGAACTACTAGCTTGTAATTCAAAAATCATGTAAACTGTTGTATCTGTCCGAACTACAAGATGAATACCCAACAAATAGCTTGTAATTCAAATATAACGTATGCTGATGTACTTGTTCTGAACTACAAGATGAATACCCAACTACTAGCTTGTAATTCAAATATAACGTGTCCTGGTGTATTTGTTCTGAACTACAAGATGAATACCGAACTACAAGCTTGTAATTCAAATATAATTTATGCTGATGAATTTGGTCCGACCTAAACGATGAATACCTAACTACTAGCTTGTAATTCATATATAATGTAAACAGTTGTATTTGTCCGAACTACAAGATGAATACCCAACTACAAGCTTGTAATGCCGGCTCGCCACGGCGAGCTGGTATTACGTTAGGATTTTACTGAGAAACAACCTAAAACTCCGAATCTATCCAAAAATGTAATCGAAGCTTGGCTTCCAGCTTTCTACTAAATTAATCTATCTTGACTGGAATCCAAAATTATTTAGCCAATCAAGTTTAACCTTACATAGTGTCAAAAAACCTTCAATTTTCACGCCATTTTTAAAAAGCAGCAAGTATTGCTTTGAGCGCAAAGATATAATGATGATTAATATAATGATGATTAAAATGTTTGTTTTCATGAATTCTTTTCCATAAATAATATTTACACTGACTTTTGATTAAGCGATTTCACCTGTTTTCTCTGTAGTAAGCTTTCGTTTGATAAATAAAACATAAGTGTATATCTGGTTCTGTGCATTGTTTTCTTTTTCTTTTTTTTCAGGTCATTTTTTTCTTTCCGGTATTTAGGATGGGGGGAAATCACGGGATCAGGGATCCGGGACGCCCGGGATCCGGGATAGTATTAGATATATAGGGAAAAGGAATAAACTATATTTGTGTTGATTATTGTCGTTTAATCTTTATACAGGAGATACTCATTATACCAAGCCCTCTTACAATATAATTCCCTTTTATGCTCACTATGAGCATGTTGTGCTGAGCATAAACAGGAATTGGGATCACTATATATATGTTGTCCCTAATGTGTAATTTTGCTTCTCTTTAAATGATATATCTGAAATCAAAGCACATAAACAACACGTCTTATATAGAAATACATACGCACACCTTTATACCTTATTAATGCCTCAACCTAAATATTTGGCATGTGGTATTGCCTTGTTTACCACTTTAAAATTTTGTTCATGTATCTACATCATATCGATTTGTTATACCAAGATGAAGTGGACATAATTTTTATTAAAATGCTTAGGGAAAATATGTGTAAGTCTTATTGATATAAACTGAGTATGTACCAATGCCTTGAGAACTTGTAAAATCTTTGTCTGTCACTCATTCCAATACTAAATAACATATTACAACTTAACTTCGTATTAGAGACTACCTATCTAAAAATATTTTGGTCAATGTCAACAGGCCATGCATATATTAAATGTGCATAGACATAGGGACTTCATTCTATCTGTTTCCATGCATCTTCATATATACTCATATTCCTCTTTGTTAAACTGAGATTACTGACTTCCATAACTTTATATGTCACTTAAAGATTATCTTGATGTTCGCTGAAGTCTCTTCAGCTACCAGAACTGTCATTTTTACATTTTTACATTTAAACACACCCCTGGAAAACAATTACGAAGCGAGTCGCTACTAGCTTTTTTAAAAGCTAACCTTGTTCAAATATAATATATGCTGATGTATCTGGGCTTAAAACAAGACGAATACCCAACTACCCAGCAAACACATGACGTTAAAATAACGTCGGATTAATGTTAGATTTTGGTCACGACGTCGGCGACCAAAATACGACGTAAATCTGACGTTAAAATACCGATGTCTAATAGACGTTTCTTTTTGACGTCGTACTAACGTCTGGTTCTGGTCGGTGTCCTGACGGTAGGTAGAAATAATAACAAAAAATAATCCTTATTCGCTGTTGTAATCATTTAAACATTTTTTCAAATGTTATTTGGATTACAAATGAAGTGTTCTTATATAAATACAGACCAAGATCGCGGCGCTGCAACCTAATAAACCATAAAGGTGGCGCTGTATAGACCCTTTCATTTAAGACCGTATTCAAGTTGTCGCCCTTGGATGACGTCATTGGGGGATACGGTGGACAATGCCGATACGATTAAGTATAATAATAGAGGGATATAAAGATCTTAAACCTTTCTCTTTTAAGATTGGCAGATTGAAATTGCCAAAATTTTGTGTAATTAAATAAGATATTACATAAAAAGGATGGTGAAATGAATAAATATGTTTACTATATAATATGGTTAACGATTTGTTTTAATAGTAGACCATATTCCTGGGTAACTGATCATGATCTTACCATTTTCGTTAGATTCTTAATAATGAAAATTTTACCAGGCAGTTAAATCGTACTAACTTGCTAATACCAGAGATATAAATAATGTATCTACGTCTCTGCTAATATAAAATACCCAAAAGATATTTTGAGTTTCAAAAATGTAAGGATTCTGTAGTTTCGAAAAACGGCTGCGTAATAATTAATTGCAAGATACTGGTTTATTAAAATAATTTTGATTTAAGCATTACTAAGACAAAGAAAAGAAAACAATATAAATCTATGTAATTTAAAAAAAAATGTAAAGGCATAAAAATAAAAATTCTTTTCAATGTACAGGACTGTATACTATTTGCGTCGGCAAAAATGCACTCTCAAAAAATCGTACATCACACAAATATTATTCAAGCTGGTAAAGTAATATTTTCAACTGGATACTTTTTAATTCATACTCTGCTTATCAAATTTGTTAAAAAGCAACAAAAAAACAAACAAGTTGTTATTAACTGAATTATAATTTTACGTATATTTGACTGTGCCAGTTGGTAGGACTCTGGATCACGGACTTTAATTGTAATTTAAATCCGTGTCTGGATCGAGTATCAAATCAGTAAGGCATGACCAATTAAGTCCCTAGGATGATCCATAACAAAATTCGGACCATAAATATTTTGACAACTAACAAAAGTGACGTAATCTGATGTAATGTTATAACTCTAAAAAATGCACCCTGGTGATTTATGATATCACAGCCAAGTGCCGCTTGTATATACGACATATGTACCCCTTTAATTAATAAGTTACGGCCCAGTGGCGCTTATAATTATATACACATCTATTTATCTATGAAATAAGTTGCTGGGAAAAGGTCTTTAAAGAATAGATTTTTAATATCAAAATTATCTTATTATCGTCTGTTGCGAATCTAAAGTTATAAAAGTCAATGCCACATGGTTTTCGTTCTTTCCGGAATATTTATAAAATTATATCCTTCACTGGTTCTTTGAAATAATTTTTATACGGCGTAATGAAAAAGAATCAATAAGTATTGACATAATGCATTCTGTTATTGTTCTATTAAAGCTTGAAAAACAATCATTTAAAGACATTGGCGATCTTATTTTCAACACGGATTTATATTACTAATGTAATATAAATCCGTGTTTTCAGGTTTGTCACATATACGCCAGAATTTTCTAAATGACAGAAAATAACACAGACAACTAGAAAATGGCCATTTAAATTTATAATAGGCAATTTCGGTGTGTATAGGTGTTTGTAAAATATTAAAATTTGATTTAGTTACTAGCTTTTTATCCTGGCATTTGAGAAAATCTAGATCTAATAAAAATATTCACTTTGAAATTTCGATGTTTCACTCCGTTGCGACATGTAGATTTATAAATCTGTGGTAGCGAGAATTAATCTCAATCTTTGCTTTTGTATTTTTTTCTATTGTCTTGATATTGAATTTATGTATGCATGCGTAAATTTTTACATGTTATAATCATAATTGAACGATCAGTATTTACGCATTTAACTTTTCAATAAGCTAACTTTCTATGCGGCATGCATAGTTTTATCCCCCATTTACGTCACATCCGGTAAGGGAAGTAACTCTTCACTGACTGTTATCGGTTAAATGAAAGGGTCTATATAGGCAAGTTACATGTGTTATTGTTATGAAATCTATTTATAGCCACAGATCTGTTTACAAGTTCCAATCATTTAACGTTGTAATATTATCATTTGTTATATATTATATGTATCAAAATTACGAGTTTTTAATAGTGCTTTAACATTTAATCATAGTGACAGAAAAGGGAAAGAAAACATAATTAACCTAAAATTCGAATCTAAAGTCACGTGGATGGAAATTCAAATTCGTAGGCGTTACGTTTTGGCTGTCGGTCAGGAATCGGGATGCATTGATGAGTGAATATTATAGATTTTCTTGAACAAAAAGGTCAGTTCAATTTATTTAGATTTATTTCTACTTTGTATTTGATAAATAATTGCATGATTGCAAGCACTCTTAAATTTAATTATCATTATTTGAACAGCTGAAGTAAAATGTCACACAAATTCGCGATAATGTCTAATAATAAATCTTTTTAAAATTGACATGTTTTAACTCTGCTTGTGAAGAGTTTATAATATGCCTTTCAGTACTACCAAAGAGAATGCTTAGTTTTCATATTTTTCTTAAACTGTGATGTTTTTGTCAGTTAAAATCTGAGAATTGAGAATTAATTTGTACGATTTTGAGCATTTCGGACCAAGACGTTTCGGTCCCAAATAACCCAAAACGTTCCGGTCCCAAATAACCAAAGACGTTTTGGTTCCAGACATTTCGGCATTAAATCTTTAATTTCAAACTATGAAATCTTTAAGACTTCCTTAACTGTTCTATTTCAAACGTAGAATATATACAGTACATAAGTTATAATATAATTTTCTTTTCAGGTAGTTAAAGTGTTGGACATGCTCTCAAAGGTCGGAGGGACGGAAACACGTGAATATGTAAAAAGAAACATATGAAAGTAAGATTTTTGTAAATTCTATTACATACTTTAATCCATACTAAACTGGAGTTTAAAAGCGGCTTTTTAAATGTTCAGCATTCATGTTTACTTTTAATTTTTGTTAAAGCTCTCTTATAAAAAGTTGGCAAAATTGTTCATTAAGTTAAGATAACCATGAAAACTTTTTTGCTTGTTATTTTTACATGTTTCATAAATTTCTTTTTTTTTCAGTGAAAATGATGTCACACACGCTATTGGGCGCTACAAACGCTACATATCCTCCGGACAGACGAGGGGTGCTGAAAGAAGGTCATATCTTAAAGCATCACACTCAAAATTCGTGCTAATTCTCATGGATATCTAAAAGTATAACTTTGTGAAGTAACTAAAAGGCAGCAATTTATACATTACTGACGATAATCAAAGGAGGTCAAAATATGCAAAATGGCACTAAATGTTTTAGAAATGCTGTAGAAATATAGTTAAAGTACTGAAAATGTCATAAATTGCTTGAAACATTATTATCAGAATCTTTTAACTTTTCTTAAAATTATAATATTTTCATTATTTTATTTGATAAGGCAAACTTTGATAGAAATGTGCATACATTGTTTTGTTCTTTAATATTTGTACATGTTTTCTTAGTTTCATTTTTGTCATTGTTTTTGTAATACTTTTTGTTTTGTAATTAACTTATTTTATGTTTTATTTTGTTTAATTTATGAAAATTATTTAACCTTGCAAAATTTACTAAAATTGTATATATCAGCATAAAATTGCAACTTTTATTTTAAATTAAAAGAGCATGAAACATATTTTGCTTTTAGTTTTCTGTTATACATTTCATTTGAGGGAAAGTTACTTAATAGAATGAGTTAAATTAAATTCGATCAAATCAGGATTAGCCAGAAAATATTTATGACGTGGTGAAACAAAAAAGATTAGGTGAATGATAAGATGAAGGTCAGAAAATGATCAGATTTAGGGCAGAAAAGGGTTAATATTTAGGTCGGAAAATGGTCAGATTGAGGTCGGAAAATGGTTAGAAACTGGTAAGATTTAGGTCGGAAAATGGTCAGATTGAGGTCGGAAAATGGTCAGTTTGAGGTCGGAAAATGATTAGATAATGGTCAGATTTTGGTCAGAAAAAGGTTAAATAATGGTTAGATTCTGACGTCTACCTGACGTCAGATTATTACGTCAAAAAAACTTTCAAATCCAACCGTTTTTCCGACCGTCATCCGACGTCAGAACCTGACTTAAATCTGACGTCAGTATGACGTCTTGTGTTTGCTGGGTACTAGCTTTAATTCAAATATAATGTATGCTGATGTAATTGTGCAAACCACAATATGACTACCCAACTTCTAGCTTGTAATTCAAATATACTGTAAACTTATGTTTTTGTCTGAACTACAAGATGAATACCCAACTATTAGCTTTTAATCAAATATAACGTGTGCTGATATATTTGGTCCGAACTACAAGATAAATACCCAACTACCATCTTGTTGTTCAAATATAACGTATGCTTATGTATTTATCCGAACTACAAGCTGACTACCCAACTACTAGCTTGTAATTCAAATATCATGTTTACTGATGTATTTGTCGAAACTACATGATGAATATTCAACTACTAGCTTTAATTCACATAATTTATACGTAATAATCACGTATGCTGATGTATTTGGTCCGAACTACAAGAACAACTACTAGCTTGTTATTTATAATATAACGTATGCTCAAGTATTGGTCCGAACTACAAGATGAATACCCAACTACTATCTTGTTATTCAAATATAATGTATGCTGATGAAGTTGGTCCGAACTACAAGATGAATACCAAACTACTAGCTTGTAATTGAAATTTAATGTAAACTGATGTATTTTTCCGAACTACAAAATGAATACCCAACTACTAGCTTGTATTTCAAATATAATGTATGCTGATGTATTTGTCCGAACTACAAGATGAATACCTAACTACTAGCTTGTAAATAAAATATAACGTATGCTGATGTATCTGAGCTGAACTACAAGATGAATTTCCAGCTACAAGCTTGAAATTAAAATATAATGTATGCTGATGTATTTGTCCGAACTACAAGATGAATACCTAACTACTAGCTTGTAATTAAAATATAACGTATGCTGATGTATCTGAGCTGAACTACAGGATGAATTTCCAACTACAAGCTTGTAATTCAAATATGAATGCTGGTGCAGTTAGGGTGAACTACAATCTGAATATCGATATACAAGGTTGTAATTGGCGAACTACAAGTTGAATTAATATGTACAATATACAAGCAGAACTAAAGGTTGAATAACCAACTACAAGCTTGTTATTGGCAAATTACAAGTTGAACTTCGATGTACAATGTACAAATCAACTTCACATACATGTACACCATTTGGCAAGTCTAGTGTGAGAGTGACGTTTCATTTTATGTGTACACAAGTCACAGTTCCATAATTTATTTATATATTTATTTACTCATACATGTATTTATTTATTTTACATCAGATATTAGTAGTTTCGCGCGTTATTTAAGCTGGTAATGAAGTGCACCATCAAATCAATGGGTTTTGACTTGCTAAATATTATTGTCAATTTACGAAATGAGTACAGCGTTGAAGGTTTCGTTTTCACTTGAAAGTTAACAGATGTATAATATATTAATCATATATGTCATATGCTGCGGTTCAAATAGGAATATTCGTACCGAGGAGACCCCGCCCATTGGGCGGTAACGAGGCTTGCCGAACAGAACGGACTACCTGTACGTCAGTAATTTCGGAACATTGTAGTGGTCACTGTTACATATTGCACACATAAGTAGTAACTATTACTTATAACACCCCTTAATGGTAACTGTTATCTACGACACACTTAAGCGGTTACAATTTTAATAAAGCACACTTTTCTAGTAACTGTTTTCACACAGCACACTTTTATGGTAACTGTATCATACAGCACATTTTATGGTAACAGCACATTTCAGTGGTTACCTTTACTATACAGCACACATTCTGTTACAATGGTTCAAGTCTTTGAAAGTATATATCATAATTCTTATAACTGATTTGATTAAATTGTTAATGTTTCAATTATCTTTTAGATGAAACAAGGCAGGACATACAGAATAATGGAAACATTTTTCAGAGGTTTTTTGAGAGGATACGTTATCATCTGATGAAAACAAGTAAGATTTTACTTAAATGAGCTATGCATGTGGCTTTCCAGAATTGATATACAGTCAAACGTTTGTTAGAGACAAACTCCGATTTAAGGATCCACTGTGTAGTTAAAGACCACTTTTTGAGGAAACCTTTTTAATTACAAAATGTATATTCAGAATAAAATACATTTTGTCATAAAAGGCCATGCATGTTCTCTCTATGAGTTGTCCTTATTTACCAGTTTTGACATTACAGTGTTATAAGCTTGACTTTACTTGCGGGAAAAAAATTCATGTTTCCAGTTCCCAGTTCAGTCCGTAACAAATATGTTGTTGTGTAATGTTTTGTTTTGGAGTATATTCCTTACTTTGTCTTCCGATGAGGTTGTAAGAAAATTTAGTGAGTGATTCCCGCTAGGCAGTGTTTTTGTGGTTTATTTAAGTACACACGATTTTCTTCACCTGATGAAACATAATAACTGAAGACATGAAATTATTTTAATAGAAATGTAATTTGATATAACAAGTTTCTAATGTATGATTATAAAT